ATAAATAGTAATAAACTAGGTATTAATAATCAGAAAGAAATATTATTTAGTCTTGGGAATGCCATGTCAGGTCCCCCAACTAAAAGAGGTAATAAGAAATTACCAAATCCTCCGATTAAAGCAGGCATAACCATAAAGAAAATCATTAATATGGCATGAGCTGTAATAATAGAATTATATAATTGGTTATCCGCGATGTATTGCACACCTGGTCCTGATAATTCAAGTCTGATCAATACAGAAAAAGCTGTACCTATTAAACCTGAGAATAATGCAAACATTAGGTATAATGTACCAATATCTTTAGCATTACATGATAAGAACCAACGTTCGTTTCATAATTCTCTATTAGAATTAAATAATTCATAAGGCTTTGCCAAATTATTTAATACCATTTTTCGCTTTTTAAATCCTTTAAAGAATTTTTTTTTATAACAGCAAAAATTTTTCTACCGCTTATTTAAAGTAGCCGATACTTACTATTACATAGTAAGTGTGAAAATTATATATTTTATCTCGACATTTAACTAAAAGAACTATAGATAAAATAGCGAGTTTTACTTCTAATAACTCTAAAGGTGTAGTAAACACACATTTATATTTAATATACAATATTACAAAAAAATAATATAAAATATTGTATTAATCAGCCAGGAGAGAAAATCGAATTCTCATTCTTAACTCATGAAATTAATGTTCTACCATTGAACTATCCGGGCTATAAAGTTTAGAATAGCAATTAATATAACTTTTTAATCTCCGTCCCTTCTCGCGGCGTAGCCGCGAGGAGAAAATTAATGTTTTACCATTAAACTTTTGGGCTATAAAAGTAATTGATATAACAAAAAATTATTATAAAGCAATAATTTTATAAAAAAAAAAATTCTGGAGGGGCGATTCGAACACCCAAATATGAATACCAAAAATTCAGGACTTTACCTATTCGTCTACTCCAGAGAAAGCTAAACAATAATCATTAAATTATATAAATATTCAATTTATAACTTATATTTTAATATTTTATATAATTATTATATAAAAATTTTAACTTTATAAATGATATTTATTTATAATAATAATAAGTATATTAAGATAATATTACTATTTATTGTTTATTTACCTTAAAAATTATTATTATAAATAAAAAGTAACTCTATTGGGAAGATACCTTGATTTGAACAAGGATTGACTGTGCCACATACAGCTGTTCTACCATTGAACTATATCTACCTAAT